CTTAATTTGTCTTGTTTTTTTTCATGGATGGGGGATGCAACAAGGGTGGGGGGACTATGAGGGGACTGGAAGGTGCACAGAATTGGGGTACATGATGTGAAACCCCCAAAGATTCAGTAAAGAAGTTTTAAAATATATAAATAAACAAACAAATAGCTAAAAGGTGTGGAAGAAGAGGAGGAGAGAGATTGAGAGGACACATCAGAGATACTGAGAGATTCCCCCAGCCTTCCCCAGCCATTGGGCCCCTAGCAATGCAGACAGGAGGTACTACCGAGTATCCAAACTCTCCAGTCTTAAGTCCTTAGGATTTAAAGATGTCATTAGAACAAAAATGGCGCTACTTGGTTCCTCAGATACTTGCTTTTCCTGTCTTTTATCCTCCCTTTAATAAAAATTTGATAGGTTCATTAGCTCATAAATATTCTAATAAGCATTTTATATATAACCATTTCTATAAGCCCCAATAGAAATAAAAGTGGAGAAGAAACATGAAACAATGACATAAAGATCCCATAAATATTTATCATGAATAATATATAGGTAGGGTATCTTAGTGGCACGTCTTTTCAAAGTCTACATGAACACTGGCAAAAATTTATCACATAAGACTTTCACTTCAGCACAAAGCTCCATCAGGACAATTCTAATAATCTAAATATTTGCACAGAAAAGGAAATATTCGCTTGGAACGCAAATATACACTCCCTGCAATACAAAAACACTTCAATTGTCAAAGCCAGATTAAACATATTTATGCTAGAAAGGGAAAACAGGCGAGAAGATTTGAAAGTCATGCAAGAAACGCAGATTTACAAGAAGCAAATATTTTAAGACTATCAGGAAAAAAAGTCAAAACCAAAACCAAAGCAAAACCCTCCTGCCAGAGCCCACAGATAAGCCAAGGAAAATGCATAAAACAACATGCTTTCTCCTCTAAAGGTTGCATGCTGGATGCAGTCTTTGCATTCGACACAAGACTGTGTTTGCTAAATGTACTGGTAAGATATATATATATATATATACATATATATATATATATATATAATTTATCTTATAAATAAGCAAGTAAGAGTGGCCTTTCCCATGCTGAGATGAAGACAATGCCTCGTTGGTAGGAACTGTCTTCTCCTCCGCATCCTAGGGGAATTCAGGGTCTACCCTACCATCACTAATTAAGCAGCCACCTACTGGCCAGTGTTCCAACAATGTACTCATCTGCCTCTGGAGACCTGAACATCGGCATATTGATGATTATGATATAGCATACACAGGGACTTTAAAAACATGAAGTCAGTGTAACATCAAACAGACACGCCACATTGAAAAGAAATGAGGAATTTTGTTCCATGGAAAAGCTTGTTGCTCTTCTAGAATGTCCACTACTGTTTGGGGTCATCTTAGAAACCTGTCAGATGACTCTCAGCTTCCTGCAGGCCACTTCCGTGGAATCACCATGGCTATTCCAGTCCTTCCTGGAAACATGTGAATGGCTTTAAAAGAAAAAAAAGTCTCTCAGCCCCGATACTACTTTTCCAGGGTTGTGTCCTCAGATATGTAATTTCATATTTCCATTTATTTTGTTTCTTTTAGGAGTGACTTGCCGGATGATTGTACTTTATGTTTAGACGTGAGAAAAATCATTTTCAGAGTGGTTTTTTTATAGGCTGTATGTACAGCATCTCAAGTAGGACACAGAAAACGTTGCATCATGGAAGTGAGCAAAACACAGAGGCTAGCTAACTCCTTCCCCAACCTCCTCAGAAGCTGGTATCAATATGCTGAATCTCCCTGGGAGAGAGATGGAAGAACCTGATGGAATTTTGTGGGCCTTAGGCCAGTTATGGAGGACGTAGACATTAATTACAGTAGGCAAAGCTCTGCATGAAATCACACTAATGGGACCCTTAATGCAACAATATATGACAGGACTGTCCCTTTATACATATTGTCATGCTCGGCTCAGACACCTACTCTAAGATGAACTCTACCGAGGATCCACTAAGTCCCCTGACACTTTGCAAATCTGTGCACCCTGTTCTGGCTGCCCCACCTACATGCTGTTTTATTGATATGCCAGACAACTCCACCCGGAGGCCATTACACTCACTATCCCCCAGATAACCATGTAGCTCTCCTGTGTGCCCTAACCTAAATGTCTCCTCCACGAAATTCTATAGTGTTTTATTTTCCTCTCTGTGTTCATTTCCTTCCCTCAGTGACCATCACCTTCTAATAAGATATATACTATGCACGGTGCTCATTTGAAGTGTTGATTGTCTTGTTTTCATGCATACTGCTAGAGTGAAGGGTCCCCGAGGACCAGAACCATGTCTATTTTCTATACTTCACCATCCTAAGAACACAGACTCGTGATATACACTAGCATAGAATAAATGTCTTGAAGAATCGATGGTCATAGATTAAGTAAAGGGGAGGGAAGCTCAGACTACTTATAAAAGCCAATGTTGGCTGAGAAGAAGCAAGCAGATAGGGGCAGCAATCCACATAGCCTGCTGGAAAACTGTAAGTGGGCAACTTGGATGAGCAGAGTCTCCGGGATGGAGGAGAGAGAGCTGGAGGTAAAATAGGCTACATCACTTCCTGGATGTGACATTTGCCGGGTGGGCTGCATATCTGCTGTCCTACAATCAACTGCATGAATTCACTGTAGCATCTGAAGAAAGTCTAGCCAGTAACAGAGAGGAGCTGTCTGACAGTGATTCCTTTGACTGACTGGGCTCTGAGAGGACACAACAAGGACAGAATCCATCCCCAAGGCCTACTGCAGAATTAGCAGTGGCCGGTCCACAAACTCCTAGGAGGATGGAGAAACTAGACTCTTTCTAAAAGTTGAAACTGGAATCTTAAACACCGATGACACTGCTTCACAGTTACAGTGGGGCAGGATCCTTGAGCAAGACCGAAACAATTCACATCACTTCAGAACTTCCATTTGTAGAGAGAATGGGTAAACATGTTTACTGTTGATCACTGACCATCCATTAGCCACGGTTTGGCTTACTCACCCTTGCAGCACTTCTTAACTCCCGAACATTCAAACAATTAATCCTGCTTGAAGGAGCGATGTAACACCATTGCGAATATTGACCAGAAAATATCACAGGGGCTTTGGAAAACCAATGGATCTGAATGAGAAATTTCTGAAATGGGGTCTGGCTGGAACCCTAATGGTTTGGTAAAATGACTAGTTTTCTGGTTCAGCATTTGTACGCTATTACTTTCAAATTACAGGCCTTCTGGGCTATCCAGCAAAGCAGCTGCTCGTAGACAGCACCAATAACCAGCAAGCTTCTTAGAGTTGAGCTGGTCAGCTCTCATCTCAGCTCTGCTGGGGAAAGTTCACAGTCCATCAGGACTTCTTGATCCCGTCTCTCCACACCACAGCACTGGGCTCCTGCTACAGCTAGATCTGAGCATTCCCACTCACTGGCGTCTTCAAACCACAACCAGGATGACGCCCTGTACACAGCTGTGACATCACGACAAAGATTCAGCTTTCACGGGAGGCAGACAGCCAAGCATTCGAGTCCGTGAGTAGCTTTATCTACTCAGCTACAGCCCAGCACACAAGACTGCAACATTTACAAAACCACACCTGTCAAGGTTTTAGGAAAGAAGTCATTTGTGAATACAATTATCAGAATGATTTCACTTTAAGGAATGAAATGCACAGTGACACGTGACCGCTGTAGTGGCTCTATGAGGCCACTGTAATCTAATCTCTCTGCAGACATTGCGGGGTCCACCTGGCCTTGGAGGTCTACGTAAAGGAGAGCCTGCTTTCAAGCACCTCTAAGCTTTGTTGGAAAGACATCCGGGTGAACAATAAAAGTCAGTGAAAGAGATGGGCTAGAGAACCCAGTGATGGGTCCTAGCACTTGGGAAGGGGTCCTGGTAAGTGCAGTACTCAGTTAGTGCCTAAGAAATGACTAACCTCCTCATTTAAAAGCTGGAAGCTGCTGGTCCTTCATTCTAGGTCAAAAGCATATAATTTCAGAATGTCTTGTATAGATGAAAATATGCTCAAAATTTCATTAAAGAAGATAACTATAGAATATATTAGTTCTGGTGGATTGATTAACTATCTAGAATTTAATAATATAATATATAATATTTTATTTATGTAATAATATAATGATTACATTTAATTTATAATTTAATATATAATACATCCGAATCATAAAAACAAAAAATGTTGCTTACACACACACACACACACACACACACACACACACCACATAGACCTGAGATTTTCTTTTAGGTTGGTATAAAAGTTTTCAAAGGACAATGTGTGTGTGTGTGTGTGTGTGTGTGTGTGTGTACCTGTGCATGCGTATATATGCTCCCCTGTGCATAAGTACCCCATGTGTTAGATCTGGCTGCTTTTAACCAAGTTGTCTTTAACTACAGATAATGAATTTATGAAATTGTAAGAATACTTTCGTGCCTTAAAGAAACAATTGAGGGTATACTTCAAAATCTGACTTGACAAAGTGTAACTATTCCTAAGATAATCTCAATTATCTACAGTCTACTTCCATATACTTGACTAAGGGTTTATACTGGCCTTAATAGGATTAACTTCAAAGAATAAGTGCATGACTTTTTTTTTTTCTTTTTAAGGATACAGACTATTGTCTTTTTCCCAGGTAAACTCAGAGATCCAGACTGTCTGATCTACTGATAACACAGATGTCAGTCTGGTAACTATATGCTCATTTATATATCCTTGCAGCTAAACACATACAACAGAGACACAAGGTTAGCAATTCACAGATATTCTAAAGAAAATGTTGCCCGTTCTGTATTACTCCACACTCATAGTTTGATATTTCTTCAACTCATTCACAGCAAAGGACCTTTTGTAAGTTGTTCAACACATTCACAGAGACCTTCTGGATCTCACTTCCTTATGCCCCTGGCTCTGCCACTGCTCCCTGGGAGCACACCCCCACAAAGGAGCAAAGGACCCTTACCTGGCTGAAGCTCTGGGCGGCAGCTCGGGCTTGTGTGCTGCGTGCTGGGAGCTGAGAAGGGGCTGTGTCACCCAGGGCCAGGGTCTGGTTGCTATGGTAGCTGGCCGGATACTGGAAAGACCCTTCAGGTTTGGAATTGAGCTGAAGTGCACTCTGGGAGAGCAGGCTGGGTCCTGCGTTGAAAGTCATTTAGAGCAGTCAGTGACAGTCTCGGGGAAGCAGAAATGACATGTATTATTTATTGAGAGTAGCCTAGAATTATCACACGCACATGACTTCTACGCTTTGAATTCTGAGAACTAAAATGACCATATAATTTAGCTCCAGATGAGATGAGTGTGTGTGTATGTGTGTGTGTGTGTGTTAAAAGTTCTCAGAGGAGTAGATTTTTCAAATGATCTCATCCTGACCTACATAGAGATATTTCTTATGAAGCAAATTAATCAAGTAGTTATTTTTGGATCAGACAATATCAGAAACATTTGAAATAATATATAAAAAAAGCTTCACCTTCTTTGTACATTTTAATTGCATTAATATAATTATATCTCACACTTCATGACTGGCATACTAAAACACTCAAAAACCTTCTGATCAGTGCGAGCTTCCTTTGTGTGAATAATGATGTAATACCAGAGTGCCAGAGAGCAGACAGTGCTTAAAATATTAATAGCTGTTCATACGATGCAGGATTCACCCTGGTCTCATATAGTCCCTGCGGACTAGTTATCTCTGCCATCACAGAAAATGCTCAGCAGGAGAACAAAGAGAAAGTTATGGTGTTAAGATTGACGCTGTCAACATGGCGTGCATTACAGGGAACGAGGGGAGGATGGGCAGGTCCTGGCCTCAAAATTTCATCACATTTTGCACATACAGTTTGGCTTTATTTTCTTGTGTTTCACTTGCATTGAATTCTTGGAAGAGTTTACACATTTTATTTCAGGAAAAAAAAAACCTAAAACTGAAACTTAATATTCACTTTGGGAGCTTAAACCTTCACGGAGAAGTGAGCATATATTTGCCAGCTTCCCCTGTGTGTGTCTGAGATGGCTGGTGGAGGAATAGTGTTAGGGGATCCAGAATCTGGCAATACCAATGTCTTCGTGTTTCTTTGCAACACGAAGCCAGTTCTTCATTCATGCGGAGTAATAAAACATATGGCCTACAGGACAGTCATGAAACATCCTTGACGCTTGCTTTGCTTCTCAAAATAACAGGATCGTTTCTGTTAAGTAAGAAATTTCAGGGTTCTTATTTGTCTTTAAACATGACACTCTCTTTCAAACTCTGGATTGACAGGGACTATTCTTTGACAACTCTAACTTGCCTATTTTTAGGTGTATTGGTTCACGTGACCCTTGCCATTTAAGGTCTCTGTCTTCCTGCATTCCCTGTTGGGATTGCAAAACACAAGGATACAGTTTTAAATTGTGTTTCCATTTAGTCCCAGCATTATCATGAAAGGTTTTACAAAAGCACAAGTGCTTTTTATTTTAACACATAACATCATCCCAAGGAAACAGTATGTATCAGGCAGTTGTTTTCAACAGCTTGCAAAAAGACCAGGTGATCTATTTTGATGGGATTACAAGCTTAATTGACTGGATGACGCTGTTTCTGAGAGGAGAGGCATTCCCTTTCCTTCAGGACAGTAGAACTCCCCTGTCCTTATTACAGTGGTAGAAGCTGCCAGCCATGGCAGAGTAAAGAGCTCGTCTCTCCATTCTAGATAATGGGCAGGCAGAGTTCTGGGATATCTTTGGAAGCATAGGAGGAAACTCTGTGTGGGGTGGTGGTCCACAGAGAAGAGACAGGTCTTGACTGGAAGAGCAGTGAAGAGTTCTGGCCCAGTGCTTTAGTCCTGGTCCTCAGTGTAGACCGTAATGGAGAGAGAGCATGGTGGAAGAGCAATGGCTCTTCCCTACCGGAGAGAGGAAGTTTCACATTGTCTTAGTTTGTTATCTCATTCAGGATAGTAGATGGGCACATAACAGCCTACACTGGGCACACTTTCCTTCTACTGTGCACCTCAAGGGCAAGGAAGGTCATAGCAGACACAACAACAGTGCACAGAATTTGAAATCTCAACAGAGTGAATTAAGAGAGAAACATTAATTTCACATCCTTTAACATAATCCACAAAGCAAAATACCCACATATTTTAACTATTGGCCTTTTAAGAGAGAATGCGACTTTACTCCAATGAAGTTTCCCTGAGCAGCATGGGAATAAATAATAATTATAATAATAATAAATAATTTTGTGTCCTATGACTTCACACAATTAGTCCCAGAAATGTACAAATGCTGTTTATATAGGATTTTTCAAATAAGTAACATCATGTTCTTTTTCAAAAATGAATTGCCATTAAAATGATGGTTTATCTGCTCCTGAGAAATGCATCATGGGGTAATCAAACCTGCTCATCTTTTATAGAATCAGTCATGTATTTGATCAATATTCAACGAAAACAAACCAGGATTCGCTATCTCATTATCCCGCTAATATATCTCAAGCCCTGAAACCAAGATGTGCTCTGACAATGATAATTGCCCCAACGAGCAGTATCATCACATCGCAAAACCGACATGTCACCTGCCAAGGACAAAACAGTCAGGACAACAGCCCAGGCCCTCTGCACACCTTCTTCCCACTGTTCATTTGACTTCAAATGAGCAAGATTTTTTTCTTTCAATTTTGGAAAACATGCATACATGAAAATATAAAAAAGGTTAAAAAAATCACACAATATCCCTAAATTATTTCATAATGGAAATCAAAATTGCATACAAATTTCCATTACTTGATTAATGTTATGGTGTATTGAGGCAGAAAAATATAAATTTGCCAAAGATTTTTTTAAAGAATTTAGTTTAGGCATTTAAATTATATGTTTTTTCTCCCTTTAGAACTTTTGGATTTATATGTAGAGTTGCATGGGCTAGTAACAAACTTAGGCAATATTCTTGAAGCCGTGGCGTGTATGTGTTGGAGGACGATGGGGTAACGTGGAAAAATTTAGTGGGGGAAACAGAAGACATTTTGCCTTAAATTGCATGGATGAAAATGCTGTCTTCGGCACCAATAACTGTACCAGAAGACACTCTAACTCCAAGCAGCTGAGGTTGACAATTTCTGCCTTCACAGAAAACAGGAGTCACGCTCTGGATGCATGCTTCTAGAAAACTGAGCTGGAAGGTCTAGACTGGTCATTATAGAGCTCATCAAAGAAGAGTCCTGAACTTGGGTCAGAAGTTAATTGGGAAGGACCATTCCTTGAAGGTCAGGGAGACCTGGTCAGTTTGTGTTTCACACGGTCTTTTTGTCCTTGACCAACCAATCCTTCCCATTCTGACTGGATGAAGGAGAAAAATTTCCAGGAAGTGCCATAGTCGATCCCACTACTTCTATGGGATGCAGGGAGCAAGGGCTACTGAACGTGAGGGGAACACCGCAATAGGCTCTCACACATAGAAACTGACTGCAAGAGCACACAGCAGCCTTCCAGAGAGGCTGACTTTACATTTTCATTGTTCCCAGGAGATGAGCAGAGAGGGACAGGCAGAACTGGAGCTGATGTCTCGGGCTCAGTGGCTGAAAATGAGCCCTGACCCTCAGGCTTCTGTCTCCTCGTCCAGGAAGTGCTGTCCTTTAAACCCACAATACTATGTCTCACGCACATGTCAGCATTTCAGGATGAAACAGTCTATAAACCAGACAGGCCCCTGCAGCAGGCGAAGCCTTCACTTCTCAGATTACATTATTTTCCCAGTCACCTTCTACTTCTGAGTCCCAAGCTCAGTAAATACAAAGGCTGGAATGCTATTTTTTTTTTTTACAGAGAGCTTTAGACCCATTTACAGGTTATATTAACACAGACACCATGATACACAGCCATTTTCTCATGAAATTAACCGGGTACTTTAAGAATATCTACGACCACATGTGGTTGACCATGTACATATGTTTGCAAAGCTTTAAAGAGGCTGTATCTGCAATTTCTAGTTCTTCTCTGACTTAGCTGAACATCTGCTCCAGATATATTAAATCTGTTCCAGGTACATCAAATCCCAATTAAACTACACAGAAAGGCCAGAGGTCCCCTAAGTTATGCCTGCAAGTCATCATTTAAGTCACGACAATGTAAGTAAAATGATGGGGTATGTACTGAAAAAAATCAACCCGGAAGAAGTCAGCAGATGTGGGCTAGTCCTCTTACAGACTCCCACAGCCATATCTATTGGCGGGAGTAGTCATGGGAATAGCAGGTGTTCTTTACTAGGTCCCAAGAACTGTACTGAGCCCCTTACACCTATTATCAAATGGACATTTAAAACAGTTTCAGCAGGAATAGCGCTGCCAGTCTCTCTGCCACTGAGGGAACTCGGGAGTTCCCAGCTGAAGTTACTAATTAAATGGTGACATGGGGGGGGGGGGGGAGTTGTCAAACATGGCTGCCTGGCTTCAGCAGTGCTCTTACCCAAGGCCCTGCATTACTGTGTTGCTTCATACTGTAACTTCTCCAAATGTGAGCATGGAAATTCTTGACTCAAAATTTTATGTGACTTCTGTTATAGGGTATTGTTAGTATTAACTGTTATTACCATGCTTATTAATCATCATTATCCTTATTATTAAATATCTACTTGCCGAATCACAGAGTCACACTCTGCTAGCAATAAAACCCCGAACGGGATTTGTTTTCCTGGAAACACGTCCCAGGGCTGTCTCACACAGTGCTTATTGCCTTCTTTCAACACCCTTCACGTTTCTGTTCTGCGGGTGGGGATATCTACTACATCGTTCAGCAAAGTGGCCTGCTGCAGTAAAAGAATTAAGAAGAAATGGACACTTAATGTCTCATCCAGGAGTTGAAAAGCTAAAATCTTTGTCAATATGAGAAAGTTGTTCTTGTTTTCTCAACCTGAAATTTCTTCCTTTGCTAACTGCGAAGCTCATTCTCAAATGTCAAATGCTTAAATGTCACCTTCTCCATGAACCTTTCCCCTCATGGCCAACTGTCCAGGGAATATTAGCCTTGTCCTACCATGCTACTTTAGCTGACCCTGTCCTGCAATGCTACTTTACCTAATCCTGTCCTGCCATGTTACTTTAGTTCGCCACAGACCCAATTCCAAGGAGTTTCAATTGTCATTCTGTGTACTGCATT